ATATAGCTATATAGATACAGTTGTTGTTGCTACACAGTTATCAGTGTGTATGCATGTGTTCTTGCGCGTGTTTGCGGGAGCCTGAGCTTGTCTGACTCGGCAGGTCACAAAGGACTCGGCATGCATTGGGGTCAAGAGACCCGGCGGTTCATTTAGAAGTTGTCGATCGTAATCGCAAGGGGTAGGGTTTAGGGATTAGGGTTTTTGGAGTCAGGGTTTACGGTTTAGGAAATAGGAGTCAAGGTTCAGGGTTTTTAAGAGCGACGGGCTCAGGCTTTGCAACTAGACTTAAGGGTTGCTTCTAACACTTCGGGCCCTTAATCATATGACTTACTTGTCCAGACCCTCGGTTTACTAGCGAGAGCCGCCGGAACGAGAACGCACCAACAGCAAGGAAGGCAGAATTGCGTATGTGCTGTCATATTGCTTGAGTCGCTTGAGAGTGAGGCGGCAAGAACCGGTTTACTGTCCAGGGGTTGTTGTTGTTGTTTTATTTTTACTTTCATTATTTATTTTTTTTTTTTGGGGGGGGGGGGTTGTGCGCTTAGGCTTCTAGGTTTCCGATTTCTTTGCAACCCCTTTTTTCCCGGAGCGACTGAGGACGACGATAGCCAAGGGTTTGACCAAAACCAGCGGACTCAAGTGACCCCAGCTGCATGTTTGGGCTGGGTTTACGGCTTCGGTGCTAGGGTTTCGGTTTTAGGGTTTTAGTAGAGTTAGGTGAAGTAGCCCCAAACCCCAAGCCTTAGGGTTTATGCTTCCTTAAGGCTCCAAGGACCCTCCTACAGAGGGACTGGTACCTCCTAAGGAGGGTTCGGCGGATCAGAGGGCCCAAGAGCCAGAGGGTTGGCCCCCCCCCCCCCCCCCCCAAAAAAAAGTGCCCAGAACCATGGTGTTCAGGGTTTAGGGTTTAGGGTTTCGGGTTTAGGGTTTAGGGCTATACCCTGAGGCAAGTAGGCTTCTACAAGACAGCTCTGGTTGGAGTCTAGAGACGCTGCCTCAAATCCGAAAACCAATGAACCTTTTGGACCTTTTCAAAGGTCTTTTTGGGGTTTAGGGTTTGGGGTTTAGGGGTTAGGGTTTAGGGTATAGGCATGTTTAAGGTTTGTGGGTTTCAGGGTAGCTGTACAACCACGGACACCCCAAAAAGAACCCCGGTGAATCAAGAATCAACACCTCCTACTTCACAGATCCCCTAAACCCTAAACCCTAAACCCTAAACCCTAAACCCTAAACCCTAAACCCTAAACCCTAAACCCTAAACCCTAAACCCTAAACCCTAGAGCCCAACCTCCTTTTGTCCATTCCTCCAATTCCAAGTACAGGCCGAACTCCGCAGCCACAAGCCCTAACCCGAGCTTGCCCCCAACAATCTTGCTCCTCCCAACACCAAATCCTAGAACTTAGGGTTTAGGGTTTAGGGTTTAGGGTTTAGGGTTTAGGGTTTAGGGCTACCCGAAACCCCCAAGCCCTGAAAGCCTGTGAACCCCCGAGCGCCCCATTGCGAAACCGCCCCCCCCCCCCCCCCCCCCCCCCCCCCCACAACTTCTCAGCTGGAACGGGAAAGGGGGGACTCCTTGGGGAGCGTTACAGGTTACAGGGTGTATGGCGGGTAAATGAGGATCCCAAATTGAGGGCCCGTATTGGGGACCTGCACTTTAGTTTTTATCATAAGCCCTAGCATACAAAACCTAAGCCCTAAACCCTAAACCCAGAAACCCTAAACCCTAAACCCTAAACCCTAAACCCTAAACCCAGAAAAACCTACACCGAGCAGGTACAACTTCGCCGACGGGAAGACGTCCTACGGAGTCCAGCCACTTGGCCCTTAGGTTCGGCTTCTTGGTTCTCTCTCGTAGGTTTGTGCGCAGTTAGTGGTTTAGGGCTTATAGGGTTTAGGGTTTAGGGTTTAGGGTTTAGGGTTTAGGGTTTAGGGTTTAGGGTTAGTGGTTTCGGTTTTTTTGGGGGGACTGGCGACTGGCGACTGCAATCATTCTGTCTTAACGATTAGACATCAAGATAGCCGGGTAGGTGTAGAGCTGGCGTCGTAAAGCTTTTCAGCCCTACACCAGGGGACTCTCATTAGACAGGGACTACGCCGTAAGGTTTACCGGCTTGGGATCTATAAAGGACGGAGCTTGGAAAGTAATTAAGGGTTTCATGGTTTTCAAGCTTTTGTAAGGTTCATGGCCCTAAACCGTAAACCCTAAACCCTAAACTCCTGGCCCTAAACCCTAAACCCTAAACCCTAAACCCTAAACCCTAAACCCTAAACCCTAAACCCTAAACCCTAAACCCTAAACCCTAAACCCTAAACCCTAAACCCTAAACCCTAAACCCTAAACCCTAAACCCTAGCCCTAACCCTCAAACTTTTTCCAGGGTATCTGTAGTGGCTGGGATGCAGCCTGGACCCTGAACCTGATGGATGTCGCTTCAGGGGGCCTCAGGGCTCGGAACCAGACATTTCCGTATGTTGCAGGGCCGACCACGGCAGAGGGTGTAGGGTTTAGGGTTTGGGGTTAGGGTTTAGGGTTTAGGGTTGAGGGTCTACGGACGGGTGCGTGCTTACTGCTGCGATCGTTGTGGATCATCGGGGTTTTGGAGTACTATACTCTAATAATTTATGGGTTCTGGGTTCCTATTACAGCTACTTATACCTAAACAGAATCTACTGTTTTTCCAGGGTCTACCCCAAATTAGGGTCATGCTGGGATACAAGGCATGGGCAGCCACAGGTGAGGTTTCGATTTAGGTGTACCCAGAGAACCCGAAGCCCTAAACCCTAAACCCTAAACCCTAAACCCTAAACCCCAGAAAGCGGATGGGTCCTGGGTTTATTACAGAACCCTATGCAAGGCTCAGCGTCGAGTGAGCAGGGAAGCTCTGTTTCAGTTGTCACGTCGCAGTCACTGGCAGGAGTGCATCACCCGCAGGCTTTAGGCTTTAGGGTTTGCAAAGCAAGAGCAGCTTGCCACCACCCCAAAGTATCCATTTCCAATGACCTAAGCCCGAAATCCTATGCCCTAAGCGCCAAATAGGCCATGATACTTTTCTGTTGCTTCCCCGGACCTGAGGGTTTTTTTAATGGCAAAGAGAACTGGCCTTCCAACCCAGTTTAAGCCTTAGGACTTAGATTTTAAGGTTTAGGGTCAAGGTATCCCCTTATAATCAGAAAGAACTCACCCAAAAGCGTACCCTAATGACGGAACAAAATATCACACCAAATCCGGCAGCGGCATGCAGAAGCTCCACTGAAATAGTTTAAGGTATTTAGGGTCCAGGGTTCAGGGTTTAGCCCACAGCTTGGCTGTTCGCTGCGTTCACTTCCTCCCAAAGCCTAAGCCCAAAACCCAATACCTAAACCCTGTAAACTCGAAACCCTAAACCCTAAACCTAAACCCTAAACTACACCAAAGGATGCTCTGCCACCCTACAGTGTTGCCAGTGCCTGTCGGCACCCAGTACCCTATTTTTCGGTTCACGAGTCAACTGCAGCCGACACTCTGCGCGTTTGAAAGAGGGCATGTCGGGGAGTTGGGGGTTTAGGGTTTAGGGTTTAGGCTTTCGGGCCTAGGAGATCAGAAGGATCCTATAGGGCAGTTCAGGTGTAAGCAGGGCTTTCTGAAGCCACCGAAGCAAGCCAATCCTAAACCCCCAAAACCTACAGAAACCTGAGCCCTACGCCCTAAAACCCGAAACCCTAAACCCTAAACCCCAAACCCTAAACCCTAAACCCTAAACCCTGAAACCCTGAAACCCTAAAACAAACCCGCCCCTTAAAGACCTTAAATCCCCAAGGAGAGAGAAAAGAGGTTGTGCAATCCTGCGTACCTGCGAGGATCCCAAAAGTAGAGCCCCCAAGTGGTACCCTATTCTACTTCTTAGGGACTGGGTAGGTAACGTTAGCCATTTCAGTTATATAGAATCCTACTATAATATATAATCTTTTAACTTTTTTGGGCTAGGGTATTCAGCCTCCAGGACATTTGGGTCATGCTCATGGGAACCCTTAAAGGGATTAACTTTGGATCCTCCCAGGGGTCTTGGGAGCTCTTCTGTTCTTGTTTCCCTAACACCTAAACCCTAAACCCTAAACCCTAAACCCTAAATCCTAAACCCTAAACCCTAAACCCTAAACCCCAAACCCTAAACCCTAAACCCTAAACCCAAAACCCAAAACCCTAAACCCTAGCCAGAAGCCGAACATCTGAAGCTCCAAGCCACAAATGCCCGCAAAAGCGATCAACCAAAGCCTCCACACAAGATACACGCTGAAGTCCAGCGCCAGGCTCCCCAAGACCGTAGAGTTTATGGTTTCGGGTGTCAGGGTTTTAGGGTTTTGGGCTTAGCGTTTTCGGTTCAGGGTTTAGGGTTTAGGGTTTAGGGTTCAGGGTTTAGGGTTTAGGGTTTAGGGTGAACCCCCCCCCCCCCCCCAGTACCCAACGCATCATAGCCAGGTGGCCCAAGGCGACCCAGACCTGGCGTTGGAGCTCTCGAAGGTCGGAGCTCCCAAACAGTTCGGGGTTGTGTTGGGCTGGGGTTCAGGGTTCGGGGTTTAGGGTTTAGGGTTCAGGGTTTAGGGTTTAGGGTTTAGGGTTCAGGGTTCAGGGTTCAGGGTTCATGGTTCAGGGTTCAGGGTTCAGGTTTCAGGGTTCAGGGTTAGGGTTTAGGGTTCAGGGTTTAGGGAATTAGGGACTAAGGACTTAGGTTTGGCTTTGAGTTTGTGGGATTTTCATGGTCAAAAATGAATGCGGTTTAGGTTTGGTTTAGGGTTGCGGGCTTTGGGTGAAGAAGGTCTCCAAGGAAGCCTTACACTCTCTACACTGTAGACCGCAGAATTCGAAGCCTAAGCACTATTCGGGAAGGCATCTGATCATCTGGACGTCCCTTGTCCTTGCAGGGAAACCCTAAACCCTAAACCCTAAACCCTTCTGTGTTCGAAGTCTTGGGCTGTCACCAGCAAGACAGCTCTAGCTTCAGCAGCCTCCGCTTCCAGCAATGCTGCGTGTCTTCCTGGCTTCGGGCAAGGTGGCCGTCACCATTTCCGCGGAGGAACTCCGAGAGAGGCCGGACAGTCGGCCCATTCGAGCCCTGAAGGGCCTCCTCCGAGACATCTGCGGCGAGCCGCGGTTCCTTAGGGGGTACTTGCAAATTATTTGTTTATAAACTTTTGGGTATTCTAATCCCTATAAGAAACAGCAAAAAACTTGTAACTTTTGCTAGGGTTCGACGTTCAGTAGAGGTTCAAGCAGCAGCTCTTGAAGGAGGCCCTCGTGTTGAGCGACGATGCGGTGCTGGATGGGCCGGCTGACCTGCAGCTCGTTCTCTTGCCTCACTGCAAGACCCTTGGGGGGACCAAATGAACCCCTAAACCCTAAACCCCAAACCCTAAACCCTAAACCCTACCTAGAACTGGGGTCATATACCCTGTACTCCGATAATCCCTATTCAGGTATATGAACCATAAACCCTTTGTAGGGCTCATTTCGTCCTTATAAGGACTTCTGCAGAGCGGGAGCATGAGCTCCTGTCCGCATCGGTCCGCGATGATGTCTGCGAGGTCGAGCGCATCTTACACCGACCCCAGGATCCTGATGTGTGCAGCCCCCATGATGAACCCAGCGTACATGGCCGCATCCGTGTGGGAAAGGACACGAGGCCCTTGGTCTGTGCATCTTGGCACGGACATGTGGCAGTTGTCCGCCTCTTGTTGGAGGCATTTGCTGCTCCTGGCATCGCAGCTCATGACGACAGGACACCAGTGGTAGCAGCTTGCGCTGCTGGTCGCTTGGAGGTCGTCCAAGTTCTGCTGGACGCCGGTGCCCAAGTCGACGAAGCTGACGCGTCAGGCGCGACGCCTTTAGCTACAGCTTCTACTCGGGGTCACTTGGAGCTCGCGCGACTGTTGGTGAAGGTGGGAGCTGCCGTAGACAAAACTGACAAGGCTGGCCGGACGCCTTTGGCATCAGTGAGCGCAGCAGGTCTCGTGGAGGTCGCCTGCATGCTGCTGCAAGCAAGTTCCGACATCAACAAAGCTGACAATGCTGGCTCGACGCCTCTGGCATTTGCTTGTGCCGAAGGCCACTTGGGCATGGCTCGGACGCTGGTAATGTCAGGCGCAGACAAGGACAAGCCCAAGCACGTGGGCTCGACACCCTTGCTCCTGGCTTCTTATAGGGATACTTGGGAATATTTTTTTAAATTTGTGGGTACTCGACTTCCTAAGCAACAGCTACAACTATCATGCTTGCTAGGGTTCCCCAGCTCAGCAGAGGCTTGCTCGAGTGGCTGCCTGGAAGTTGCCCGTATGTTGGTGGAGTCACGAGCCGACAAAGACCGGCCAAACAACTTCGGCAGGACGCCCTTAGCCATGGCGTGCTCGTGGGGCCATATTGAGGCCTGGCAGCCCAGTGGAACCCTTTTGTGCCCCTGTTTTGGGTCTGGGCTCCCTTCTGGAGCGGCGAAAAGGTACCCCTTGTGATAATGTGGGGGTTTAAGATAACAGGGGGTGCCCGTATTGGGGTCCCGAAAATGCGGGGATCCTACTATTTGGGGGGGGGGGGGGGGGTTAATCGGGGTCCCTTGTTTCCTAAACTCCCACATGGTTACTGGGCTACCAAGGAGGTTGCCCAGATGCTGGTGGAGGCCGGCGTTGACAAAGACACAGCTGACAGTGCAGGCAGGACGCCCCTGACAGAGGCGATTAGGCAAGGCAACACCCAGCTTGTCGACCTTCTTCAAGATTGAGGCCCATGGTACGGCTGAGCCAACAGCTACTTGTAGACCCCAAATACTCCAAACTAACTCAGACCCTCAACCTTACTTAGATAGTTTGTGTATTTTGAAGAAGGGTCTTTCAGGGTTTAGGAGCCCTATAAGCCCTGTCTTTCCGTCTGTAGATGGCTGCGCGTGACGCAGCGAGTCTCACCAACCCTCCGAGGTCGGATTCGTATAAATTCTCGCCTGCTTTGTTTCATCCCTTGGCGGAAACAATGCAGGGCCCTGCAGGCGGTTTGTTTGGGGGTTATGGTTCCACCCTCTCTCTGTAGACTGCCCCCCCCCCCCCCCCTAGTAAGCTGAGTAGCTGAGGTAAGCACACTTTACACTTTTTGGGAGACTATCTTGAACCCGGAGTAGGCCCTGATTCCCTCATTTTGGGGGGTTTAGGTTCCCTATGGTTCCCTTATAAGCCCCTTTAAAGCAAAAAGGGCACGCTTTTTCTTCCTAGGCTACTCCTGGGTCTAGACAGTCCCTTACGGAACTGAAAGTGTACGTACACTTTGTTTGGGCCCATGACCTCAGCAACTAAGTAGGGCATCTCCGGTTTTTCAGGATCTCGGGACTGGGTGTTTAGGGTTTAGGGTTTAGGGTCTAGGGTTTAGGGTTTAGGGTTTAGGGTTTAGGGTTTAGGGTTTAGGGTTTAGGGTGTGCCTCGATGCGTTCTGTAGACCCACCTCAGAGGGCTCCCGGGAGAGGCTCCTGTTCAAGCCCCCGGCCATGTAAGACCCGCATGGCCACCCTGAGCCTTCCTGAACCCTAAACCCTAAACCCTAAACCCTAAACCCTAAACCCAGAACCCAAAAAACCCTAAACCCTGGAAAAAAGGGGAGGCCCAGCCTAAAGAGAATGGACCATTGAGGTTTAGGGTTTGGGGTTTAGGGTTTAGGGTTTAGGGTTTAGGGTTAGCATCGTGGCCCCTGCTGAGGTGGCGGAGACCCTGAGCATGACCAAGGCACAGACGCTCCAACATCGCGGCCGAATCTTCAAGGAGCCAACGGGGTTTAGGGTTTAGGGTTTAGGGTTTGGGGCTTAGGGTTTAGGGTTTAGGGTTTAGGGCATTTAGGGCTTAGGGCTTGGGAGTTAGAGCTTCAGGGTTACGGTTCAGGGTTTAAGGATTCATAGAGTTTCGGTTTACGGTCCAGGTCAGCTTTAGGGTTCAGGTTTAAGGATAATTATGTATATAGGGTTTAGGGTTTGCGGTCCAGGGTCCATTGCCTTTGTTTTCGTGCTTGCGGCAAGACATACATTTGATTTGCGGGGTACGTGTTCTGCTGTTCTAGGCCCCCTTGTACCGCGAAATCTTCGATCGGGGCCTTTTGATATCGGGGGCCCGAAGCTCTAACAAATCATCCCAAAACTTCTTCCTCCTAAACCGCAAACCCAACGCTTTGCCTTCGAGCCGCCTTCCGCCACCAAAACCCTAAACCAGAATCCCTGATGAATTCACATGAACCCGAACTAAACCCTAAACCCTAAACCCTAAATCCTAAACCCTAAACCCTAAACCCTAATGTTGTCTGCTGATTAGTGTGACCCCCCCCCCCCCCCCAACGAAAGGATCCCCCTCTTTAGTGTGGGGGGGGGGGGGGGGGAGGACTCAGAACAGGACCTGAGGGGTGCAAGTGTGGTGGCTCACATCGGCCTTAAACCTTTGCTCAGGCTCAGATCTTTGGTCTCAGACTGGGATTCAGCCTTTAAACCTTTGCTCAGGCTCAGATCTTTGGTCTCTCAGGCTCAGTTCATTCAGAAGCGATTTCTAGACAACAACACCATTCGACGGCCTCGCCGAAATTTTGCATCGCCCGATTTTTTTTTCACAATTCCGGGGGTCCGCCTCAAATAGATCCCCCTGAATAATCTGTGGATTTTTTTTCCACAATTCCGGGGGAGCACACTAATCAGGATACAACATTAAACCCTAAACCCTAAACAACTACAAAGCCATCAGCCCCGAGCCTGGTGAGATTGGAGCCCTCCCCATGCCAATCCCTAAACCCTAAACCCTAAACCCTAAACCCCAAACCCTAAACCCTAAACTTAAACCCTAAACCCTGAATCCAAACCTTCTGGACTCTCAAGAGTTAGGGTTTGTAGGGTTTTAAGGTTTTAGGGTTTAGGGTTTAGGGTTTGGGGTTTGGGGTTTAGGGTTTAGAGTTCAGGGTTTAGTTCGGGTTCATATGACTCCCAATCGTTAGTCTCAGTAGCTGAGTGAGTACACTTTACACACTTTTTGGGATACTATAACCCCTATAGAACTGAAAGTGTACAGTATTAGGGTTTGTGGGGTTTTGAGGTTTTAGGGTTTGGGGTTTAGAGTTCAGGGTTCAAGCTTGACGCGACTACCCCTATTAGCCCTATAAACCCTAGACCCACTACAAGCCCTAAACCCTAAACCCTAAACCCTAACCCCTAAACCCTAAACCCTAATGGACATCAGGGTCTGATCACCGACTGGCACCCGGATCGGCACGCGGCCAGCGGTGTCCCGGCAGAAGTGGGCGAGACATTTCGGGCCTTCCACGTGGGGGATTCACCCAAAAGCCTAAGCCCTGAACCTAAGGGTAAGCCCCTGTTTGACGCCTTTCTTTGGGGGGCGGGGGAGGGTGGGGGGGTGCGGAACTTTTGCAGCTTGTGTTCGCCTAGGTAGTGCTGCGCTTTCTTCGCGCGCCAGTTGTGTGCGAGATAAAACTTGGTGGTGTAAGCATGAACGGGCCTTGTGAACGAGAGAAACTGCTACTTTCAATGCAAATCCGGATCGCACGAAGTCAGAGCCACGCCCGAAGAGCCTTTCTACAGAGTTCAGGGTTCCGGCTATAAGGTTTCAGGGTTCTTGCGGCCATAGGCAGCAAACGCTGGCCCACTAAAGACGAGGCGCCCTTAGTTTAGGGTTTAGGGTTTAGGGTTTAGGGATTAGGGGTTTTCCCATGAGACTGGTGGACAGACTGAGGCAACTCCCACATCGCAACCAAGGTGTTCCAGTGGCTCCAGGCAGTGGATACGCTGGGAAAAATCGGTTCTCTTGGGTCCTTCAGGGGAGGGCGGGTGCAAAGGGGTATATGCAACCCAAGATGCCGAAAAATGCTCCCCGCTACTCCCTAAGGCCCCATGATAACCCCTCCCCCCCCCTCCCCCGAAACCCAACCCTAAACCCTACACCCTAAACCCTAAACCCTAAACCCTAAACCCCCCCACACTAAGGGCCATATAAATAGAGGTACACAGAACCTGAGGGCGAAGGGCGAGCTTCGCCTTTAGATGCTTGCATCCCATGTAGCCAAGTTCTTCTTATGGGCCTATAGTCTTCTGAATACTGGAAGGGTTTAGGGTTTAGGGTTTAGGGTTAAGGTTTTAGGGTTTAGGGTTTAGGGTTCGGGGGGTGTCGGGCGCATAGGGAGGTGATCTTGGACGACCCCTGTGGGCGCAGTTCACCATTAGGGTCCATTTTCGGAGTCCATGTTGAGAAGGGATTCCGAAAACAATGATTCCAGCGAAGGGGACATTGAGTAGCCACCCTTCCCCTCAACCATCAAACCAAGATCTAACCCGAAACCCCAAATGACGCAAAGCCTTGAACCCACGAAGCCCCTAAGCCCAAAACCCCAAATGCTTATCCTTGAGCCTTAAACCCCGCGTGCCCAGAGTGGATCTCCATCTATAGTGCGGCACCCATATAACGACCCGAATTTGGAAAACTACCCAGATCTACCTTAAGCCCTATGTGAAGTCGGGTATTCCAAGTTTATGTTGGCGTATCGCGTAAATAAGGTTTAATTATGGGACTGGTCTTATAGATGTTTAGGGGGTCCATCGGGCTGATAGGTGCTTGTAGATATTATTTATAGATGCTTATGGGGTGTATACGGATAGAATACACGATTTGTTTTAGGGTTTAGGGTTGCTCTATAAGGGTATGTATCCCAAGATTTCCCAAGCCTCCCCTACTCACCAGGCCTGCCAAAGCTTGCCTGAACCCTAAACCCGAAACCCTAAACCCTAAACCCATCATGAATCCCCCTTTGCTGCCAGCTGGGAGGTTGCCGCCCCTCCCCAGTAAAGCGTCGCACCAGCCGAAGCCTAGGCAACTCTCAAAGCAAAATACCACCCTAAACCCAAGACCCTAGACCCCAAACCCTAAACCCTGCACCTGTGCACTCCCAAGCGCACCAGCCCCAGATCATTGCGCTTCAGGTCGTCAAGGCCTGGTACCTGGAGGACAGCTCGACAGTACTGTAACGTTCACGGGACTGGCAGGATTCAGGGTTTTGTAGGGTTTAGGGTTTAGGGTTTAGGGTTTAGGATTCAGGGTTTTGAGTTTTAAGGGAAGGTTGCGTGGGGCTGTTACAAGCTGTATTAAGGTTGTCATCCCAAAGCCATGACACCTTAAATCCTCGCTGGAAAATTTCAGACTTCCATTACCCCTCCCGTTCCTTACTCGCTTACCAGGCATCGGCTTAGCCATTCTGCTTCTATTTCCAAGCCCGCCGCCCTGATTTTTGCGCGGGTTTTGGGTTTATAGGGTTTATAGGGTTTATAGGGTTTAGAGGGTTTATAGGGTTTATAGGGTTTATAGGGTTTATAGGGTTTATGGGGTTTATAGGGTTTGGGCTTTATTGGCTGAGGGTTTAGGGTTTAGGGTTTATAGGGTTTAGGGTTTAGGGTTTAGGGTTCAAGGTTCAAGGGTTTTGGTCAGGCCTAAGCCTTAGGACCACTTGACGCCGCCTCCACCACAACAGCGGAGGAGCAGACAAGCTCTGCAGGGGAGCAGCAGCCGCTGCAGGGGGAAGAGGCCGCAAGAGGGTTTAGGGTTTAGGGTTTAGCGTTTAGGGTTCAGAACCGTTTCTCGGGTTTTCAGGGCCTGTCTAAGCTTCAAATTTGTTGGGGTTTTAGGCCAATGTAGGGTTTAGGATTTAGGGTTCAGGGTTTAGAGTTTAGACCCCTCAACCACAATCCCGACTTCTTAGCTCACA